AGCCTTGCTATAGAGTGGAAGATTAATTAAGCTCATACTTGATTATTAAACATGGATTACATCTCAATGTTCATGACTCTATGTCATTTTTCAGATTTAAGATCTGATATAACATTTTAGTAGTAGATGGTTTAACTAAAAACCATCAAGAACTCATCAATGAGAGATTCCACATTTCTCAAGTCATATATTATTTCTACCATTATTGTGAACAATTTGTATTTATTAATAGCAACTATTCATGTTTAATAATTTCATGTTAAAACTAGTGCCAATAGTTATTACATCAGGCTATGGGTCTTGAACTACTTCATCTTCCATGTGCCTCCAACTTACTTTGTCATTAGAAGCTTGCTTTCTACTAACTCAACTTTTAGAGGAATAAAGGAACTTATTCTTGATGGGGTTGTATATAATAATCTAAATGCCCTTTTAGAATATTCTAAAATTATGTAATCAGCTGGTATTTATATTCTAGATATTGTTAATAATGATTGAAGTATAATCCCAAAAAGGTTAAAGGCATGACATTTCTACCGATTACAAAGTAAACTATATCAAGTAAAATTTAATTCACCCTTTATCATCACAAAGGCTTTAGATGGTACTACTAGGTTATATCTTGTGCTCAATAATATACATTCATTAGAAAGGAAGTCATACACCAAAGTGTATAGTTCCTTAATAATTATCTTCTCTATACTTTAGTGAAAATATTATGAGGAATCTTTTATATATAAATAAGATTCACATATGTCAAATAAACTACATTATTTGCCTTCAAAGATACATTTCTTGAAGTTGGAATATGTGGATTTAATTTATACAATAAAGATAACAATGTCATGGATAAGTTCGCTTTAAAAAAAGTTTAAGTCAAAAGTGCTTGCATATAGAACTTAATTTTATTTATAAAATGTTGATATTTACTTTTTAATTCTATCAAGAGATCTAGTCTCAGAAATAGAAGTCAATCATTTCACAATATGAGTATTATCGTTATGAAAAACGATCTAGTAAATAATCAAACATTTAAATAAATAACTGAGACATAAATATTCAAACATGCTAAATTTAAAACATATATTGTTCCAAAACAAACATTGTTTTATATTACAAGCAATTTATATTCTAACCATAAATAATAAACTAAACTTCGAGAGTGTAGTTCCAACTTGCTTGTGCTCAGCTAGTTACTCTTTTGTAAATATTTGCAACACTACTAGAAAAACAGCCTTTTACGACGCTCATTGCGCGTCGGAAAAGGCTCAAACGACGCGCAAATGCGCGTCAAGGAAGGCCATGTCATAAAGAGAGACGACGCGCTTTTGCACGTCGTCTATAGACAATGCGCATTTACGACGCTCATTTACAACACGCGTTCACGACACGCAATGCGTATCAAGGAAGGCCCTGTCATAAAGGAAGACGACACGCATTCACGTGTCGTAACCTTACGACGCGCGTGCTAATGACACGCAATGCGTATCAAGAAAGCCCCTGTCAAGAATGGCCATGTCATAAATGAAGATGACACACATTTTTGCGTATCATAATTTTAAATGTTTAAAAAAAGATTATTTATAGATTTACTTATTTTCAAATTAAATTTGTATATAATGTTTTATAATAGAAAATATAATATCAAATAAAAAAAATAGAATCCATTGCATCATATCAAAAAATTGTAATACATTGGTTTTAAGGGGATCTAATTGTACATTGTTATTAAGAGGTTTTCCCTAACTATATAACCTAATACTACATTGCTGTTAACGAACACCTTCTGGTTTCTACTTATTGTTATGCTTTTTTGTCCACATGATACCTGTTTTCATCATAACACATTAGTATTCAGAATGCCTTCAAGCATCATCAATCTATGTTATAAAATTTTAAAATTTATTACAAATATAGTAAAATACCTTTTTCCAATAAACCAGGGTTGAATACAACCCATACCTGTATAAAATATTAAAATTTAATACACATGTTGATTACAAAAGTTAATATGAAAGTGTGAAATAGTAAAATACCTTTTGCCAATTGTCATTGCAGCAATTCAATACGACCCATACCTGTATAAAGAAACATGGTGACATACATGGAAAAATCAGTGCAAAATGGTATGATGGGTTTTGTTCGTCTTCAATTGGGAATTCCTTGTTTTGGTAGTTTTTATAAAAATTCTGCATAAAAAGAAAATCTTTTCCATTTCTTGGTGAATGCAAGACTTAAAATTATCCGATTTTTTTGATCTAGTTGAGTGGTGAATGTTGCTTATTATCTTTATGATGGCGATAGAGAAGTTTTTAAAGTTGTCAACTTTTTCTAGAGCTTTGATTTTGTTGGATTTAATAGATCAGATACCTGGGGCCACACCCACAATTCCTAGAATGTTCCAAAATATGTTCCGTTAGCTGCTGGTCAAGTAATAAGTTCAAGATTGTACGTTATTTTATTATTATTTTTTTATACACATTGGCCATTTGCAATTTGGAGCTCTTCCTGTTATTCCAGTTCAAGCAAGAGAAAAGCTAACCTTATCAGTCAAAGGTTCTCTGCCCCAAGGCTGATTCTTTTCTATGTACTCAAATAACAACCTACTATGAGTGGTGGCAGAATCACTATCATCACTAGACATTATTAAGCTCACATACTCTTCTCATGTTGTCCAAACCCTGAAAATTGATTATTATAAACTTGTAAGAAACAAATTCATATTGATTACAAGTAATGTACATTATACAAGCCTTGTTTATGCCTCTAGCTAGGGATGAGCAAACGGACCGGAGAACCGGCCGGAACCGGTCCCGGAACCGGAACCGGAACCCGATGGAACCGGTCGGGTCGGGACCGGTACTATAATTTTATGAATTTTTGGAACCAGGACCCGGTAAGAACCGGCCCAAAACCAGGAACCGGACCGGATAGTCTTTACAAAACACCCCATGCCTTTGTCACTTGCACTTCTACTTTAGACATAAAAAAAAAATAAAAAAAAATAAATAAAAAAAGCTATCGTGTAAGGATTTGAGAATCCATCGTTTTGTTGTTCGGGTTCTGCATTGTTGTTCGGATTCTCCATTGTTGAATGAAGGATTTGAGATTGAAAACCATTTCATGATCTCTGGTTTTAAATTTTTCCATTCGGTTACAATTTCAGGTGCATTTGTAAGTGTTTGCACTTCATTCCAATTTATAGCTTCCCCTAATTCCTGAATTTATATGAAGTATTAAAAAGTGTTGAACTTTATTGATATTTAAAGAAAGAATGTGATTGTGTAGTTTTACCTCTTTTAGCAATTCGAAAGATTAGGCTGTTTGAGCATTTTGACATTTTGCACCTATGTTTCTTTAGAATGTTCAAGCCAAAAAGAGTCTATGAATGGTTGTAATATCATCTGGGAAAGAAATTTGAAATATTTATATATCAACTTTTTTATATTATATGTAAAGTTTAACTCTACTTATATGGAATACTTAAAGAACTTGTTTAAGGGTATGCATATGCATGAACTAATCCATGAAGTTCTCTCATATATAATCTTCACATGTGTTTAATGTAACTTTGAAACTCAAATAAATCTCCCAAAGACCGGACCCAAAATCGAAAAACCGTAAGCCCAAAATACATTGTTATTTCTCGAAGGCCGGTTCCAAAATCAAAAAACTGGCAAAAACCGGACCCGGACCCGGAACTGGTAGAACCGCCAGGCCGGTTCGGTTCTTGATTTTGGCCGAAGCCGGTTCCCAGGCCGGTTCCGGTTGGTTCGGTCCTTTTGCTCATGCCTACCTCTAGCTTGTTTAAGTCACCAGTAAGAATGACATGTGCACTTTATTTTGCAGCAATTAAACTAGGTAGTGATATTCTAACTCCAAGTTGTAGATAAATGTTATGTTGAGACTGAATAATTGATAATCAATTAATCATAAACAGAACACATAATGAATCATGATTTATCTAAAACAAACAAGCTAAAATGGTGTAAAATGTTTATTTTTGACTTTGTTGGTTAAACATTAGTGACTTTAACATTTTGTGACCTAACTTCCCTAGTATATAATTGTTTTTTGGTTGAAAATGAGTGACTTTAACAATTAGTAACCAAATTGCCCTTGTAATTCATAATTTCAAAATAAATAACCAGAAAACATTGACATCATTTTATTTAGACCAAAACTATTTCATTCTAACATTCTAACATTCTAACATGATTTTCAACTGTATGCGTATATGATGTACCTTTGAGACTTTGTATGCATATATGATATCTTACTATGTGACTTTTCTTTCCATCTTTTATATATTCTTGTTTTATTCGCCTTCCCTTTTTTTACCACTCTCTGTTATTATCTGTATATACACACAAGTAAATTAAATAGTACAAACATATTTTTAGAACCAAAAATTAATAAAAAAAATAAAAAATAAAATTATATTTGAAAATACCTTCCCATCAGCTGTCCCACAGTCACCGTTGTTCAACGTGACATACTTTTTACTCCACTGTGATCATATATATAAATAAATTAAATATAAGTAAAAAAGTGGAATAATAAATATATATAAATAATGAAAAAAAAAAGTCAAACCTTATCCCAATGAATGAAACGAGGATTTTTGCTTTTGTAATCCACCACTATCATCTGCAGCTAAGTCAAGAATAGCAGACTCCAACCTATTTCATCAATCAATACAAATTTTTAACTTTATATCATCATAATACCAACTTTTTTATAAAAATGATCACAAGTTCAAGTCTCCTGAGATCTAGTTATTTACAACCAATCCTACGGCTTAATGTATGAAAAATAATAGGTATAACAAACTCTTATTAGTATTAAAAACTTATATAAAAAGGAATAAATCTATTTTCTTTTTGTTGTTTAAAAGGATTAAAAAATTGTTGTTGATGCTTATCATACCAAAAGTCCAAAACTTAGTCAGTCTGCTTTCGTTTTGCGGTTAAATAACTAACTTTCTGCACCAAATCTTATTAAAATGCACTTGCTCGGACCACTAGATAGTCCCTCCTCATCTTGTTTCTTAGAAGCTTTTTTCCAGTCATTTCAAGATAATCTTCTTCAATCTCTTCTCTAGTAAGCCTGATCAATAATTTTGGTTTCTCATTTTCTGGATCCTCACTCATCTTGTCCTTAGAAACTGAGTTTTCACCTTCTGAAGAGCCCTTAGAAGAGGAACCCTTGGATCCACGGTTACCAGCCAGATTAGGCTCCTTTATTTTGGTTGGTTTAGACTTAATATCAACCTCAGTGGATGTGGAGTTGCTGCTGTGCTTCATGAACCGAGGTTGCTCGAAGACAGGTGGTGTTCTCATGGGTGCACCCCTTGGGAGTCGTTGGCTTCTATCCGTACTAGGCCACTTCAATTCATCTGGCATGTTAAATTAATGTAACTTCTTGTTAAAGCTTCGGGTAGGCATTTTATTCTAAAAACATGAAAAGTAGAATCAAGATACAAAACAATACAATGGAAAATGTTACAAAATAAAGCTACTATTTCTGTAATTACAGTGCTATCTACAAAACCAATATATAGTTTTCACTTTTCAGTTAAAAAAATCAAAAATTATTGAAATTAAACACTAGTTTAAAGATATCAATCATATTATTATACCGATTGATAGCTGAGTGACTCCAAGTTGAACATCAATGGAAGATCGCTCTACCCATACAACAGAACCACCCATTTTTAGATCACCATCAACACTAATTGTTTTCTTGAGAACCATTTTGTCAACAGATGCAGTAACCAGTAATAAAGGCCTTGTCATGCTATACAAAAAGAAAGAAACTTAATTATATTAACAAATTGATGAATTTTGTTAAAACTGTGTGATGGAATGTAAGGGTAAAATGGTCATTTATTTTCATTCAAGCGGTTTATTCGGTCCAGAAAAGTGAAAAGAAACAGACCTTGTGAGTTATGAGTTATGAGTTATGCATGAAGCACTTTATCAGATTTTGAGGGTGGACCCCGTCTTCAATGAATGGTTTTTCCTCCTTCAAGAACTACTGTTGTGGTTCCATCACCAGCAAGAAGAAGAAAGGTTAAGTTTATGTAGGATGTTTCCAGTGAGATGTGAAAGTAAAGACTTGGCATAGAAACTTGTTTTAGATTATATAGTTTCCAGTTAGATGTGACATTCAAGAAGAACTCACCAACAAGAAGAACTACTGGGGGTTGCCTTACCCTATAATGGAGATGTTGAAACGAATTGGTGTTCATATTTGTTAAAGACTTGAGCACAGAAACTTGTTTTAGGTTCTATAGTTTTCTTGGTTGGATGGGGGTCTGAGTTCACTTGTATTTTAAGTTAGAGCCAACCACAGTGCATGTTTTAAAGAGAGGGGAGATAGAGACACACACTCTTGTACCGTTTTACTAAGTTATGCAACCAAAACCTAAAGCAGTTGAAAAAAGGGCAACACTGAGAAGGAAAAAATAAGTGAGGGAAAATTTGTAAAATGTTAAGTTCTTTCTTCATTAACCCTATATGTATGTGTGTATATATATATATATATATATATATATATATATATATATATATATATATAACCGTCAGAATACCATATCAGATTCAACGCAACCAAAGTGTCATAAATTCAAAAATAAATAGTAAGAGAAACTAATTAGCATAAACTTACATTGCATTGTCATCTTCTTCAAAGTTCAAATGGATGGTGATGGTCTACCATATTGTAGCTTTTCTGGGGAGATGTTGGCAGCTGCAAATTAACATCATGTGAAAAAACCCCACTTAGTTTTGGTAAAATTCCGAAAATGCCCTTATTCCCCTTGACTTAGGGTAATTTTCCCAGCAAATTTAATGACTTTTCTCTACCATTTTCCCTTTTATCTTATTAATTTAATAATATAGTCTTAAATTTAGGATGTTATAGTATTGTTGCATTCAGAAAGAGATACTCTCTTCTCAATAATAGCATCTAAAAGAGGTTATGATATTTTCAGAACAATTCCAGTATAAGAAGTCATCATGACAAAATCTTTGATGCCAAAATCAGATTTATTGCAGGATAAATGGAAAAGTATCATATTATCCCTAAATTTATCAAATTATTATCTGATTATTATTCTTGAAATCAGAATAATTACTTAAGAAAAGAAAATCCAAACACCCCTTTTTATATTTTCTCCAAAAGATATAATGAATACCAACTACTTCCTACTTTGAATATTGAAGTAGTGTTTGCATATGCCAATGATATGCAAACCATAGTTGTTGTTGTTGTTGTTGTTTTTGTTGTTGTTGTTGTTGTTGGATGTGACTTGAGCATTGAGTTCTGCAATGTATATTTTCCCATCTCTCCCACCAACATAAAAAAACATGTTCCCCTGGATCTAATGCAACTGCATCAATTATTGAAGGGAACACAATATTTCTCAACAATGTCCCTCTAGTTAGGCTCCATACCTGCAATTTAAACAAATTCATGAGGGCATTCACGTCTTTTCCGAATATTTATGCAATGTGTACCTTGCAAGTACGATCTAGAGAAGCAGATAAGATAATTGCATTGGATCCTCCAAAGCCCGAGACAATGTCAGTTATAGGTAAAGCATGACCAGTGAAACTGTATTCATACAGATGTCCTGCTCTCTGTTGTCCTTCCTCATCAAATATCCTGATCACAAGATGAAGAAAATGTATTATAGTAATAAACGCTAAAATTGCAACTCATGAATGTAAAAGGGTAAATGAATAATTATACATACATCAAAAGTGACCAGACTCTAACAGTTCCATCCTCAGATCCAGAAATCAAAAGTGACTGATCATTAGAAAAGACCAAGCAAGTAACAGGCCTATAGTGACCATGCCATTTCTTTAATAATCGACCAGTTGCAACCTATAATAAATCAAAAGAAATAAAGAAAAGACTTGTAATACGATCAGTTTTTATATGATTTTTGCACAAATAGTTAATCCGATTATGAAAAACAGTGAATTGTTGGAACCAAAGTGCAACAGTAAAACAAAATAACAAAGTTTTCAATATAATTTGAAGAGAAATTAAAAATCGGCAAAAGAACCATGTATTCTTTATGACTAGAAAACTGAAATGAATTTACAACTCATGTCCCACAAGTAAATATGACCTGAAACTCCTCCTCCTACTATGTAAGTACCATCAATATTGCAAGCAAGAGGATTGATTGCTTCTGCTGGAAAACTCTTAACTTCTACCTGAGGCCACAAACAGCAAAAACCTGAACATAAGTGTCAAATTTGATATTTTTCAAATGAATAAGTTATGAACTACATAAATAGTTATATAGTTTAATGTAGTGAATGTTGGGTGATTGAACTCCTATAAGAATCTAGGCAATAGGTAATAATTAAGAATTAAGTTATAATATTTCCCTTGCAATTCCTCTATACGTTGAAAACCTAATGGAACTAGCATATTTACATAGTTGCTTCTATTACATTTGTATTTATAACTTCTACTTTAATTAGTTTATTTGTTTATTATTATTATTATTATTTACAAAACTAATAAGATGGTCACCAAGTAGATACCTGGAACCATCTACATCCACCCTTCCATATGCTCTAGTAATAGACTGCAAGTTTATGACACAATACATCAGTTAAAAATGAAAATATGTTGCCATTTTGTATATTTTGCCTTGAATATTAACATAAAATGATTAAAAGAGAAGAAAAGAAAAGATTGTTTGAAGAAAATTGAGAAACTATCAACTGTCAAGTGTATCTTGGATCCTGATAGCCAGTTTATGCACCTCTTCCATAGGTTCCATTTGGATTGAAAGATAAATTCTGATATGAAGTTGGCCTCACAGGGATAGAAGCAGTGTTACCCTTCACACCATTTGGGTTTCCTTTAGTTGTGTCCAAAGATAAAGCAGGTTCCTCTTTAGTTGCTGTGATCTCACCCTTTGGAGGCGCATGAGAGTAAGGGGTTGTAGGGGTCATAGGTGGGAAGTAAGAAGTAGGTTACTGCTAATGTTGGGCCCCATAGAGTTCACCATATTGACCTACTGTTGGCATAGGTGAGCCAGTAGGAGAATAAGGTCCATATGGTGCATAACCATGACCATAAACACCCTGTAATGAAACCAAAAACAATATACAATGATAAACATGTTTTTAAGTCGAAAAATAGACAAAACTCACAGAAGGAAACAGGTTCTTACAATGATAAACATGTTTTTAAGTCATCCCAATCATTAGTAGTTCTATCATAGCCTATACAACAGAAAAGGGAGATTGAGAAATTGCAGAAAAGGGTGAAAAGGGGTAACAAGACTGTACGCCATTGTTAATGTTTTATGATAAGAGATAAGCGAAAGAGAACTTACTGTGACTGGATTAATGGAGTATACACCATGGTTGGCTCGATTATCTGACCTAGAACCAAAATCCCACCACCACCACCATTTCTGACGAGACAATGAGAGAAAGCATCTGGAGCAATCCCTTGCGAAGAAATCTGTGTGATTACAGAGAGTCCTTGGTAACCGAATCCAAAGATTCCATCAATGGCTCTATCGGGTTTGGTTAAAACCCCAGTTTGGGATGTGCTACATCTGGTTCATGAACTTGCCAAATCAATAGGGTTTTTTTAATGAAAAATGAAAGGGGTTAATGGATTGGGATGAATTAACCGAACACGATAGATGCTGAAGCGTTTGATGGTTTTGAATCATCGATGATTGTATCAAGTAGAAAAGTATCAGAATGGGATGCACAAGTAGAAAGTAAGGGAGAATGATGTCGTACCTGAGAAAACAAAGAAAAAGAAGGAGAAAAGGGGAGAAAGAACGGATCCTATCTGATATGCGTAGAGAGTAGAAGTAGGGATCAAGTATGGAGGAGGAAATCACAATTGAAACCCGTATAATTTTTACGGTTAGGGTTTTATAGAGGAGAGGATGAGAAGTTTCAAAATCAAAATTAGAGGTAAGAATAAAGGAGAAAGAGGAACATGTATCATGTATTTGACATTCTTGATGGAATCGTTGCTCTCGACCTAGAGAAAGATGGTTTTTACGGTTAGGGTTTTATCATACGAACGTGAAGCATGATCACCTGTGACATGAATGATTTGATCTCAATTGACATAAATACAAACATTATCATATCATGATTGGAGGTTTTGTTATGGATGTAGTGCGACAGGAAAGACTGGTTGGAGAAGATGGTCGGAGACACTTGGCGGTGTGAGATCGGAGGTTGGGTGGTGGTTCGATGCTGCTATGAAGACGAAGGCCCTAGGGATTTTTCTTGCTAATCGAAAGAGATAAGGGGGTTTGATTTCTAGGATCCAACAGGCGGGGTGAAATCCCGCCTTAAAAAATGCGTGTTTCATTAAAAAATTATAAAGCAACACACTTGGATGACACACATTTTATAAAAGGTGCCCTCCGCATTTCCTTTTTTTTTTCTTTTTCTGACACTAATTTTAGGGCACACACAAATGCGTGTCCACTATCCTTCAGATTTTGCAAATCTGACATTATTTTTTAGGGCACGCACAAATACACGTCCACTATCAGCGAGTGTCATTGTTTGTGCGTCATTAAAGGGTTGTTTTCTTGTAGTGCAATCAAGTTACAAATATTACATTAACATTTAAGTACAAAGTACTTGAGTGTTGCATGAAAAGTATGAGTTCTATCCAGTGGATACCTGAAGTGCTAGTTTCTTTCAGACTTTCTTTCTAGATAAGAGGAGTAGTTCCTCTATTGATGTCCCATTTCTTCACAAAAGTAACAAGATCCATCTATATGGGCCTTATTGGATTTCATGGGCTTAAAGGTGTTTATTCCATAAAACATAGGCCTTTTAGATCACACAAGGTGGCTCTTTTAGCCTTGCACTATTCCAACAATATATCACTATATTTATTGGAATATTGCTTAACATGTTTATATATATATATATATATATATATATATATATATATATACACACACACACAAACACACACACACACACACACATATATATATATATATATATATATATATATATAATATCAAGAGGTTAGGTATCATTTATCCCACCAGTGTATACAAGAGACGTGCGAGTGTTCCTTCAAAAGAATTGCATATATTTGAGGTTTGTAAGGGGTCCTTGATGTTTGTTTTAATTCTAGTTTAAAAAACATGTTATATCATGGTTATTGCATGGATTCAACAAACCATGGTATACCTTTTAAAATATCTTATGTTATGAAAAAAAAAAACACATTTTAAAAATGTTCTATATATAAAACCCGGTTTTATATAATTGATGCAATCAAAGTTTTAAATTTATAACTAGTATTAAGTTATATTGTTTGAGAACTTTAGAACATTTGAAAATCTTTCAATAAAACTTCCTTTTATAAATAAGGTTTGAAGTTTGATAAGTTTATAAATCTAAATTTTAGACTTATACAATTTTAATCCAAAAATTTTACCTGTTACTAGTTTTTAACAATAAAGCTTGTTTTATTGTTAAACTATTTTTATCATCATATGTTAAAAGGTAAATTTAATTAGAACCAAACTCCTTGTGATATTTATTTATGTTCAAATATTATTTTGTATTTGACAAACTAATTTATCAACCATAACATAATAATAATAACATAAACAGAAAACAACACAAGTATGCATAACAATTATAACATATGTGTATAAATCAAGATATTAGCTAGTAATACTTTTGTGAGCCATCACAAAATTATCAAGTTCATTCCTAAAGGGATATAAGGGATCTTTATCTTATAAAGTTTTCATGTACTCCCACTTGCTTTAACACCTTGTACCAAATTTAGAAAAATAATTTTATAAAGTTTAAGAAACTTTAATAAAATCAACTTTATCAACTTTTGATCTTCAAAATGAACACCATCTTCATTCTTGTTACATTTTATAAAAATAAACTATTTCTAAAACTAATATATTATTTACAGAAACTAATAGAAGAAAACTATCTATTTAAATATTACTTATCATATGAATAAATAAATAATTACAACCATTTTAAATAAATCAACAGATACAACAACACAAAGGTTCATGGCTAGTTTATGCACATCATATATATTTATATCCTCAAAAATATATAAAACAATTATTTGTTTTTCTAAGACAACTTTTATAACCAAAAAGATGCTTGTAAACTTTTCGTCAAAAATAACAATTATAAACATTTTAAAGTTGTCATAGAAAATATGTATGAATTTTTCTTGCAAAGAGAAAACCATCCATGTTTTCAAAAAAGAAAGATTCCGTCGACTAAATAAATAATCTAACAAATCTTGCAAAAGTCGCTATGATACCAATTGTTGAGTTTTTATTCATAAAATCTGGTTTCATAACCGGTAAAAATGACAACGGGAGCTTAAAAATGTTTAATAAAACTAAAACAATTTTACCCCCTTGATGAATACTTTGCAATAGTTTGAAAGATTAAAACATCCATAAAATGGAAAGCATAAAAACCTTTGAAGACTTTGATGCTCATGGAAGGTTCGAAGTTCATGAAGTATGGCTTGAAACTCTAAATCAAGAGTTCTCTAGAAGTTTCCACCAAGCAAGAGTAGAACCATTAAAACATGCTACTATTCACCTGTAATTTGTTGTTCATAAACCTTTGAAATATATACCAAATATATATTCAAAGGTAAGAAACAAAGGGATATTCTTTGACATCAAAATGCAAGAGAAGGGAGGAGAAGGGAGAATCTAAATATCGAAAATTTGATAGCCCTCTAATAGAGTATGTGTTATTGGTTTTGGCTATAAGAAGAGGAAGAAGAAGACTTTCATGAATTCCCTCAAATGTCTTTTATGCCCTTCCTTATATAATAGCTAAAAATTAAAAAAAAGATCATAAAGCAAAAGCATTGATAACTTTGTTCCAAACATGATATGAATTGATTAAACAATTCAAAAGAAAGTCATGATTGGTCTCCTCATCAATTTTTGAAAAAGCATGTCTCCCAGAGACAAAAGTTGTCTCATGGCTATTATAATATTATATATATATATATATATATATATATATATATATATATATATATATATATAAAGAGTTAGGATCATATATAACCAATATATATTATGTGAATGTATGATTAATTTTGGTCCAATCAATAGTCTTGAGTAATTATGGAATCTTGTAACTAGTTTATTTATTTTTCATTAATTAATAAGCAATATATGTGAAATTAATAAAATTACCCTTTGAACAATTGTTTCCAAATATTCATCACATTCATTCTTATATAACAATCTCACCATAAAAAAATTAAAAATTAAAAATTAAAAAAAAAACAAAAAAAACAAAAAAAAAAACCTTACAAGAGATAATGAACTATAGAATGGGAAAAGAAATTTTCAACCTCCATGGGGATTTTGCACGTTGATTGTGTCAAAAATTAGAAGAATCAAGGCTTTTTTTGTGTTTACAATTAATGTTGATTCATTAAAGAATGAATGTTAATTTAATAAAAAAAATCATTAAAATATGAATTAAGGTTCCGATTTGGGAGGTTAATTGTTCCGATGTTGGAGGTTAGTTGTAGTGGATTAAATGATTCTTAAAGAATCTATTTATTATCACTAATAACAATGGGTTCAATTGATTTTGTATCTAACCAAACACATTCTTTAAGAATAATCATTTATTTTTACTACACACCGTATGTTTAATTAATTTTATGTGAAACTGAACACATTCTTTAAGAATATATTTTGTTTTACCACGATTATTTTTTTGTGTATCCAAATTATTTATTCCTCAAGAATTCTCATTTGATGTTATTATATTGCCTGCGTTAAAGAATATTGTATTTTCTTCAAGAATGAAATTCTTATAGAATGAAGTATATTGCATGTATGAAAATACTTTTATGGACTTACGTTTTTTTTTTAAATGATGTTTAATTATCCATGTTAACTTTTGTAAAATAATATAACTATGTATTTAATAAAAAGCTCATTAAATTATGCAATTAATTAGTAATCATTCCTTTCTAAATATATGTAAATAGACTAAAATACAATTATAATTAAATAACTGTAATTATATAGTACGTGACATCCTATGTTAATCAAATGTACCCTCCAATCACACTCATTTTTTTTTTTAAAATCAAATGGACAAGAAATGGTCATACATTCACACAATAATTGTAATTCATATTTAATCCTAATCCTATATATATATATATATATATATATATATATATATATATATATATATATATATACTCATATAAATATCTTATTTTTCATAAAATATATTTTATATAAATTGTAAGTAGCTTATTTTATATAAATTGAGCGAGTTTATTATGATATAAATATAACTTATAAATAATCATACTTTATGATATCTTTCATAAGTTGTTATTTCTCTAATAAATATTATTTCCACAAATGATATATTCTTAATAAGTAAATTGTTATTTCAATGAAACAATAATTTTCAAATTAAATATAAGTGTTGATATATTTATTAATAATCAAATTATATTAATAATTCATCAATTCACGGTAATTTGATATACAATGTGAGTCTATATGATCATATATTATTAGCAATATCATTATATAATGACTCTTGGGCTTATACGATCTTTTAGATATTATATTTCAGCTCTACCTATTAACTCCATCAAAATAACGTTAATCACACATACACACACACACACACACACATATATATATATATATATATATATATGTATGTATGTATACAGGATATATATATATATCCTATATATATATAGATATATATATATATATATATATATATATATATATATATATATATATATATATATATATAGGATCTAACAGGTAGATCTTTTATTAGTCCCAATACATCGAGATCAATCAAATATGGAAGAAACAGGTAGGGTCCGTTTAGTATAAAAAGTATATACTATTTGTAAATCCCACTTTTTATGCATCACTAGATCAAGCATCGACATCACTCCCGTAAGTAGATTAATCAGTATTATGATATGGAATCACTGATGAATCTTGTCTATAAGTTCATAATAATGATAATAAACTTAAACATAAGGTACACTTAAA